TCAAATTGAGTATTCACTCTCACGAGCAACAATGCTCTTGTCTACAACTCTTTCCCACGAAGCAATATTTTCATCCCAGCATTCAAAGGATAGATGTGCATCTGTGACCTTGCTGCTGCTGCGCATGTCAGCGCTCTCACAAAAAAAAAAAGAAAAAACAACTAAAAAACAAAAAACAACTTGCGTGACCTTGATCGCACCCTTCCTCCACCAAGCAAATAGACTTGAACCCGGCGTGACTGCCGGCGTGACTGCCATACAAGGTTCAGCTCTTTTGGCTGCTGAACTCATGAGGCAACAGGTCAGGACACCAACAGAGGCGACTTGATCCACGAGAAAGACCCACTTCTGCCAGGGCTCCACCAGCCCCCAGCCACGGCGCGCAATCTCCCCCAGCAGCTGCGTGGCGTTCCAGGAGGCATAGCCCCAGAAGACTTTCATGGGAGTGCTCAGCCTCCCAGCTCTGAAAATGTTCTTTGTTCAAACTTCCAGGGGTGAAGGATGAAAGGATCACCCGGCCACATGCGGCAACCATGGCCGGCCACCACGCTCCTGGGACCGGTAAGATACTCTGTCAGGCCGGGCAACATCGTTGCATCATTCACACCCACATACGCAAACACGCTGGCGAGCAGCCCGAGAATGACAGGAAGCTCGCCTGAGATGCCAAAACAACTCATGCGACACATCTGCGGGTGCGTTGCTTCATGACGAGCGTCTGCAGGCACTTTGTGCGGGAAGCAATATGAGAGCTCTGCAGCCCTCACCAACGAAAACATCACATGCAGACAAGCCTCCGAAGTAAACACCTCAGCGGAGAGGCGTTTACTTCAGTTTCACCTTGTAGCCGGATACACGGTGCGTAAGGGTACGAACTCCACAAAGCACAATCCCATGGCAATCCCGCCTCGCGCATCATTGGTTCACCCTTTTTTGTGGCGGTGGGGAGTGGGTCGGCAGGGCGTGCGCCAGCTGGGGCTGTGCCATTTGGCCAAGACCTTCTCACCAGGCTCGAACTCCGAGTCCCCGACTGCCCTTGACCCGCAGCCGCCCGCAGAGCTGAACGGTCCGCTGCGGGGGCCTCAGGTCTCGACCCATGGATAGGACGTGTGGCAGGAGCGGGACCCGCTTTGCATGAATGTGACAACCCCGCCTACGGTAGGGTATGTTTGCTGGAGTTAGTCAAAGAGCAGAGTTCAACACGGTCGTTTACCTGACCTTGTTGTCAGCTTGCATGGGGCGTCAGAATGCAAGACCGCACTAGGGGAACTCCCTCGTGCTGGCACGAAATGCCACCAGGATCCCCAAACAGCAACCTGTACGTTTGACAACCCCACTGGGCCAGCTCCTGTGGGCTTTCTTTTGGCCTCCAAAAAGAGCCGCAGGCAAGCGCTTGTTCCTTGTTGCAACCTCTGCCAGGCTGCAGCAGCTCGAAACATCGCCCCAGCTGCCCCCGCAGTCCGGGGTCCAGGACGCCTTTTGTGGCGCTCTTTACCTGACTGCACCGAAGCCGAGAGCCGTGCCCGGGCAGGGTATGCTGGCCTTCCCTCAAATGCTGCATGAGTCATGACACTGTTTGGGGTGGATTTTTGGGGTGCTTTGCTTTCCTGCTTTGTTACTGCTTGCTGGGCAACCGAAATGATGCTCATCCTGGAGGGGCAGCAAGGTTGGTAACTGCCTCCCAGCTGCCACATCAAGCAACTCCGCCGGCAGGTCTATCAACGCAAAAGCCTCACGCGTTCGGCAGCTCGTCGGTATCAGCTCTGCAGGCAGCACCGGCACCAAGCAACATCAAGCTGAGGCCCCTGTTGCACACTGACCCTGGAGGAAAGGGAACCGGGTCGGGGTTGAGATTCGTTTGTGAGAACCCGCCACGAAGAAAAGAGGGTGGAATCTGCTGAGGAGCTGGGGAGTGGAAGGCCAGCTGTGCAGCATCACTCCCACAACGGCTGTTGGTGTCCAGTTCCTTCCTCTGCTTGCTATCAGCCGGCGGGGCGCAAAGGGTTTTGGTTCGTGCTCCTTGCCGCCCACCGCCCCTCATTGACCCTGGAGATCGCAGTCGTTGCGTGTTGTTTGACTCAACTCCCAGCCTCGGATGGCTCCACCGGGCCGCCCAGGAAGTGCTCCACCTGACCAACGGCGCGCGCGGCCTGCAGGACCTGACAGGGGCGGATGGCGGCTGGTCTGCGCAAGGGTGACCGCGCAGAGGAGTTGGAGGCAGGGATTCTTGGTTCTCCAGCTGAAGCAATCACAAGTTGCCCTGCCGGATTCGTTGTCTGGTTGGCCTGGTTGAGTGCAAAAAGCAACCAAGCAAGCCAGCAACCAAGCAAGCCAGCAACCAATCAAGCAAGCAAGCAAGCCAGCAACCAATCAAGCAAGCAAGCAAGCCAGCCAGCCAGCAAGCAATGAAGCAAGCAGGCAAGCAATGAAGCAAGCAAAGACCCGACAAATGCACCATGTGAGCTAGATGCTTCTTGCGGGCCTGAACCAAGGGGGCAAACTTGTGCCGCCACTCCTGCAGCGGATAGGTCGCAACCTGGCCAAAGCCCCCGCTCCCGATGGAGTGTTGTTGGAACACAAAGAAAGAGATTGCAATGGTAACATTGCTCCCTTGGCAAGGGCAACATTTGTTTGCCGGCGTACTTGGCCAAATGTTGAGGCGTTGAAACCACGGCCGGCCTCGACGTCTGGCCCGTGATTCAACAGCGGCCGTGACGTACGCTCTAACGGGTATGGCACCGGCTGGGTCAGGTTCACGCCTAAGACCTCAACACGTGGCTGGAACACCTGCGGAGCGAGCACCCCTGGACGAGTAGATGCTGGGATGTTGATGCCAACAGCCCCTAAACCGCAAGGCTTCCAGGGTGGGGCTTGCTCGAAACTGGCGGCATGGCGCGGATGATCTTGGCCCTGAGTCAGCGGCCGCTCCGCCGCCCCGCTTGTTCGGGTTGTAGGTCTCACACCTCGAGCTGCCAATACCACAGCTCCGGAACGCCCGACGGTCACACAAAGGCTGGACCATGATCCAAAAAAGAAAAACAACGATGGCAACCTGCAGCCTGCTAAAGATACTCTGGCAGCTGTTGCCCGACAAAACAGCCAACCCCCGCTGTCCCCAAGTGAAGCTTCATCCCTTTTGAGCCATGGCCAGGGTGCAAGGAGATGATGTATACTGCCTCCGTGAAATGCCCCAGCCTGCCAGTGGCAAGCAGTCCCTCACCGCGCTGGGCGTCGTCTCAGTGTTCCAAATTTGCAGGGCCGGCAAGGCATCCTTTATGCTTTCCTGCCGTTAGAAAACATATGCGCAAACACCTGTCCGGACCTCTGAGGGCCAGAACCTGGGCGTTACACCTTACGGACTCCAGTTGCCCACAAAAATGCCATCACCGTTTCTGTACGGTTTTGACCCCCTTCTTCTCATATGGGCTCCCCATTGTGGGTGGTTTCCCCTTGGCCCCAACCAAACAAACCCAAGACAGGCCACAGTGCCACACGCCCGCCCAAGCCCGGGCCTCAGTGCCAGGGCCGCCTGCTGGCGCATGAGCTCCCCGTTCTTCTCGGACTTGGGCCTGGAGCTCCTGCAAGCGAAGCGAGCTCAGCCGGGCGGGGGGGGGGGGGATGGCTCCCAGTTTTGCGATGGTGATCCTCCACCCCCGTGAGACAGACCCACGCAACTCCATCCCATAGCTAAAACAGCTCAAAATCTGCAGACCAACCAGCCAACCCCTGGCTGGGAGTGACTCAGAGACTGTCGCCTAAGCAACTTCTCTCTCGCTTTGTGCCCGAGGGGCGCCAGGAGGTTGCCTTTCTGAATCAGCTGCGGCAGCTCCTCGCCGGTGTACTCCAGCAGCGCCTCTCGAGGAAAGCAACGGCGTGCCGGGGCCAAACGGCGTGCCGGGGATGGGAGCTGCGCACATGGCAGCAAAACGACTCGCTAAAATGCTGTTGGGGGATTGCTACGCCTCCCCTCCTCGCCTCCCGGCGGCTCCTGGGCTTAAACTCCTCCTTGAAGGGCCGCTCGCAAACATTGCCTAGGCTCTCTCGAGTTCTCTGCAAACCGCCCGGAAGACAACTTGTAGCAAGTTCACGAGGACGGAGCCGTGATAGGCACAGAAACTCAAAACCACCTCAAAGAATGCGTTGGTGCCCCGAAACACTCCTTTCCAGCCCTGGGTACTTCACTTGGCAGTTGGCTGGAGTTCATTCGCTTACAGAAACCACGCCCTAAAGCAACCCTAAAGCCACTGCCAAAGCAGACGCACACGCACCTGGCACAAACCAGCTCCAAGCCAACCCAAACCTACCCAAAGAGCAGCCTGGACATCAGCTTTGCCCAGCCCAACTGAACTCCAAACCGCCCCCGCCCTCACTAAAATCTCAGACAGCCCAAAACTCACCCTAACACCAAGTATGATCCAATTGGTCCAAGTGAGGCCCCCACCAACCAACCAACCAACCAACCAAACCAAACCAAACCAAACCAAACCAAACCAAACCAAACCAAACCAAACCAAACCAAACCAAACCCAACCACCAACCAACCAGCCAACTACACAAGTTTAAAAAAGTGCACCCCTAGGAAGAACAGGACCCCTCGTCCTTCAGCCCTCCCACCGCAAAACAAAAAAGGAGAGAACAAACAGAACGCAGCCCGAATGCAGATCTCGTCGATGCGGGTCTGGTACTTGGGGTGGGTGGACTGTGTAAGCAGCACCGACTTCTGCCACTGCCGCAGGCAGCCCAAGTGGACCCACTGCCCGCTGCCTTTGCATTCACAAGGGGCTACCAAGTCCCCAGAATCCACCAGGCAGTATCGGCAGGCCTCAGCTTGGACATGCATCGTCCCACTGCCTGATCAAGGGGCAGACGTATTGGACCCTCCGTTCAGAAGGGTCGCCTCCTAGGGTGGTGTTCGGACTTTTTTGCTTTCGCGCGCCAGCCTTGTCTGTCTCTGGCTCATCTCCCGTTGCCACTGTCCGCAGCTTGCGGATATTGTCTTCCTGCCATTGGGCATACTTCAAACAGGCTTTCAGCTGGAAGATCTCACTTCAGAGGCTAACTCCCATTAACGTTTCTGCTCGCTCCTCCTCTTCCTCGTCCGGGGTCTGGAAAAGTTGCACATAAATCTCGTTCTGAGCCTGCTGTCATGCAACTAGACAGGAGGGTGCAGCACCTAGCCTATACAGAGCTCTCCAATAAAATGACGCAGCTCTGCGAACGGGCAGCATTGAAGTACGCGGAGGCCGCAGCATATCTCCGTCGATCCTCTTTGGGCTCCAAGATGGAGCCAATGGAAACGGAGTTCTCCTGTGGATCGCGAGACGAAACCGGCACATTTGATGCAAAATTTGGGATCCCGTCCTCATACATGAAGCTCATCAAACCAATAAGGATTTTCTCGACCGTCCAACTCGGATTCCAAGACCTCCGGGAAAATAGGGACACCAAGCGTAAGCTGCACCTACGCAAAGACGGATGAGTGGGGGTGTAGCATAAGACCCTGCAAGTGCTGCCGGCAGCCTTCGTTCGTCAACCGAGTGCCCGACTCTTTGTGGAAATCGCTCATGGACAAGCAAATGCGCTTGTTGATCTCAAAGCGCCCGCTGGGCGTCAACATCCTCAAGACACAGAAATACACTTGGCCCGGCCGCAGCATGTTCATAACTATGGTTGGCAAAATGGCGCACCAGCGTGCTTCGGGCTTGACATCCTTTTCCATGGTTTCTCATTTTCAAATGAAACCATCCTCTGAGGGGTCCCGAGACTTGAGACACACCCTTGAGACATGGGCCCTGGCCAGGCTGGGCACAGCAAAGGACTCTGGAGCCAAGCTTCTTGATTGATGGTGGCTTCATGGGAAAATCATCTGGAAATTCCAGAATGCCTCGCCGAGTAGTTTGAAGGCTGTTTGTGCACGCACAGACACAGACACAGACACAGACACAGACACAGACACAGACACAGACACAGACACAGACACAGACACAGACACAGACACAGACACAGACACAGACACAGACACAGACACAGACACAGACACAGACACAGACACAGACACAGACACAGACACAGACACAGACACAGACACAGACACAGACACAGACACAGACACAGACACAGACACAGACACAGACACAGACACAGACACAGACACAGACACAGACACAGACACAGACACAGACACACACAGACACAGACACAGACACAGACACAGACACAGACACAGACACAGACACAGACACAGACAGACACAGACACAGACACAGACACAGACACAGACACAGACACAGACACAGACACAGACACAGACACAGACACAGACACAGACACAGACACAGACACAGACACAGACACAGACACAGACACAGACACAGACACAGACACAGACACAGACACAGACACAGACACAGACACAGACACAGACACAGACACAGACACAGACACAGACACAGACACAGACACAGACACAGACACAGACACAGACACAGACACAGACAGACACAGACACAGACACAGACACAGACACAGACACAGACACAGACACAGACACAGACACAGACACAGACACAGACACAGACACAGACACAGACACAGACACAGACACAGACACAGACACAGACACAGACACAGACACAGACACACACACACACACACACGCACACACACACACACACACACACACACACACACACACACACACACACACACACACACACAACACACACGCTCGCGCGCGCCAGCATCATAAGCGCAAGCTAATGCGTCCCTGCTGCCGTGGTATTTGCCTCCGCTGCCAAAGCAAGTGGGCAAGGCACCCCACCCAACCACTAAAGCCCGAAAAGGGCCAACAGGTTCTCTGAGGCGCCTCCCGTGTACGGATCTTGGTTCCCCGTGATGACGAAGTGCCACTCCAGAATGTTGGTATCCAAGGGTCGGGCTTCAATATACTCAATGGGATTCTTCAGAATCCGCCTGTACCTGAGGCTTGCCCCTGGCCCCTGTGAGGCCTGGATGCTACTCCTACATTATGGCTTCAAACCCCCCGCCGAATCCTCTCAATAGAAGCTCTGCATCTCCGGTGGCAAGGGACACTTTTGGATCTGGGCACTCCCTTGCACTCCGAGGCCCCGGCTCCATCAAGAGCCGGCGATTGTGCCGAGCCGCCGGCGCCTCGCCCTGGAAAAGCACTTGCCACCCAGAGAAGCTTTCCCGTGCCGCCTCAACGCCCCAACCCAAGACCGTCCTCGACCGCGGCAGACACGGTGACCCCGTCTGTTGGCGCCAGATCTGTGTTCAGTGCCTGCGTTCTGTCCACGAAAACGGCCTGCAGCGCGGCAACAAACTGAGCCCTCACGGCATGCGATGCACAGCGAGCCCCTTGACAGGTCAATGGCCCCTCTTGCTTTCAAAGTGGCAAGGTCGTAGCACTTGGCCATGGACATCTCGCCATAGTGGGACTCGATCTCTGTCTCCGGGTGATACTGGACTCCGACCCATCTCTGGAGGATTGGAAAGTTGGCGACGGCCAGCAGCTTCTCAGGCGTCATGTTCGCGCCGGAGAGGGCGTTCAGGTGCTCGGCGGGCAGGCAATGAATGGTTCTGGACCCATACCTGGGCGCTTCAAATTCCGGGACCCCTGTGTGAAATATGTTTTTTTCACTGGCTTCTGCCTAAAGAGCCCTTGGTTTTGACACCCCGCCTGGTATACTCAGTCACCCACCAGCCATCATATTGCCCCCGGTCATAGCCCCGAATCTGCAGGCGGATGACCTCCCCTCCCTTGCCGGTCCTCACCCGGCTCACGGCCACGAAGGATTTGGCCGGGTCCAGGGTCTGGTGCTTATGTCTCAGATCCTCGTCCAAGCTCTCAGGGCTGAAGTGCAAGTCTTTGCTGACCCGGACCATGGGATGGATGGCCCGGTACTCGATGTTCAGGGGAAACTTGAGAGGCACGTACCTAGATGCAAAGGCTCAAATGCGTGCACTTCTCGAGGTTCGGCCGTGCAAGAAACCACAAAGGGTTGACGACCCCCTCAAAGCAAAAGGCTAGTCACCACTTCGCGTCGATCCTGGCTCGCCCGAGCCCCGCGCTCAAACCTCCTGGACGCATCTCGCACCCGGTGGAGGGGGAACTGGGCGCGCTTCTCAGGGAACCATTCGTGCAGACGGTGCTCGAAGGAGTAGGGCACCTCGGACTGGGCGTCTTCAGTCACAGAACCTCCTGCGGGGGGTTGCTGTACATGTTTGGCGATCTGGTCTTCTTCCTCCAATCCTAAACCCCCGTGCGGCTCGGCTGAATGCAGCCACAGGCACCGCTGGGCTGAGAGGCATGATCTGCCCCTCGCCGCCCCACTTCTTTGCGGCACGGACCTCCCCACAGTAGGAGTAGAAGCCAACGATGAAGACCGACTCCAGGTTGCTGCGGCACATCCTGAGCTCACGCCGCTGTCCTCCCGAGAAAAGGAGCTCGAATGAAGTCTTGGAAACATCCATGCGGCCTTCACACCCAATTGCTCTGGTGCAAGGTGTAACGAATGCATCCAAGCAGCTGTCCCAAATTCCATTTCCTAAGCTACTCTGGGTCAGGAAACTCGCCTCCAAAAACCTGAGCCAAATAATATCTTGCAAGGGCTCTCATTCCTCTGGAACTCCATTCCACCCATAGGAGTGGCAGTGGCGTCGCCAACATGAGAATTGTGCGCCCAAATGATAATCTTCAGGTCCTGCCATCGCAAAGTGGAAAAACTACGCAGGACTGCAAACTCTTTCCGGACCTGCCCGTCGATGCCGAAGAGCTCTCTGGATTGCGCACGCAATCTCAAGATAGTTGTCATCATGTGCTGATCCCTCGCATTCCTCGGCATGGTGCTTTGCCTCAAAGCACCGAGCTGCATGCAGCTGAGCCACCAACTTGCCCGAGACCCTGGTGGCTCCAGCCGCTGCTTGGAGTAGTACTCATCGGCGGCAATCATGCACTCCTGACGCGTCCAAACAAAAGTCGCGCCCTCCCCGCCATAGCAAACACGCACGGAGGTTCCAAATCCAGGCAGGTCGCCAAGTTTTGCTCCACGTTGAACTGGTCGAGCTTTGAGCAGCCCCGAAACTTGCTCGATCCCAAAACCTGCAGCCACGCGCCTTCTGCGCATGACCAACAAAACCAAAGCAACGCCAGCTTTGGAACGCACTAGGGGGCTGTCACAAAACATGGGCCCCTTTCACACTGCATTCCCAGGCGCAATGCTTCCACAGCGGCCATCCGCAGTGGTCTTCTGGGAGGCTCTCCTCAGGCTGTTCTGTCAGATGCGAGACCCCAGGGCACCATGTTAGACATGTCTATGTGTAACACGTGCAGCAGAGAGGCACCCCGGGCTTGCTGGAATCTGCCTGGAATTCCCACTGCAGCTTTGCCAAAATACTCGGCCACCTGATGCCCAATCTGTATACAGCTGGCATGAGTGCCCACAGCCGCAGTATCACAAAGAATTATTTGTGCACATGTGCATGCAGAGAATGCTCTAAGCACAACCTTCCCGCATTTGTTGCGCCAACCAAGGTGGAAGCATGAGCGAAAACCAAGCTGAAAGAAATCCCACGAGCCTGACCTCCTAATATGCACACACACACACACACAAAGAGCCGCCGCACTTTCCGCCGGACATTTTCAACAGTTTGGCACTTCCATCGCGATGCTCCCGGCCGGAGCTACAGTAAAAGGAAGTGTCCCAAAATGGGGTACCCCTTCAAAGCGGTCCTTTTCTTCTCTTCTGAAACCTCCAGACGTGGGGCCCCCGTTGTAAGACACCCCCCACAGTGAGACGCTTTTAGGAAAAAGAAAGACTACTGTTCTATGACTACTGTTCTATATCCCATCTGTTCCGCTCGCGCCCGGACCCACGCTGAGGTCCCGCCGGGTGCAAACCCTCACAATCCCGAGGTCCAGGTGCTCAAGAAGCAGCCAGCTTCTCCGGGGCGGCTCCTTTCGCACGCACGCGCACACACAAACACAAACACAAACACAAACACACACACACACACACACACACACACACACACACACACACACACACACACACACACACACACACACACACGCACGCACGCACGCACGCACGCACGCACGCACGCACGCACGCACGCACGCAAGCACGCACGCACTCACGCACGCACGCACGCACGCACGCACGCACGCACGCACGCACGCACGCACGCACGCACGCACGCACGCACGCACGCACGCACGCACCCACACACACACACACACACACACACACTTAAACTCCGGATGGAGGGTGCTAATCTTTCGAGTACAACTGATGAGTCTCGAGTACAACTGATGAGTCTCGACTGGGTTCTGCTCGCGATGCACTCGGCTTCCCTCTAGCAGCGAACACGTTACCCGAAAGAACAAGAAGCACAAACAGCGCCGCAACCAAGGGGCCAAAAGGACTTTCAGAATCGCTGAAGCAGGTACAAGATGCTGCGTCCAGCATCTCCTCCACCCGATTTCCGTAGCTTCGTTGGCACGGCTTGGAAATCAGGCGCCGTGCCCCCTGCTACTAATAGTGGTGACAGGGTATTCTGTCACTCCGCACACACACGCCCCTCAGTGAGGGGCGAGAAGTCTCTTTTTCAGCAGGAAGATCACATGCTCAACTTTGTGTCCCTATCGTTTGCCAAAATATCCACCGCGGCGAGGGGAACGCGAAACTGCCCTAAGCCGCTCAGAAGACGGGAACGAAAGATCACCACGATGAGCATTACGGGTGTCGCCATAGAAGACTGGAGGGAATTGCAAAGCAGTCGAGCGATCACCGTCAGAAATAGGGGGAGCATAGGTGAACATTTCCTCGACTCGGATTGCGTCCGAATTCTGCACGTCAACAAGTGATTGATCACGGACATGATGTGTGGAGAAGGACTCCCAGCGAGAAAGAATGCGTTGGTATCCTTGATGCTGCCAGTCGCGAATGGTCCACGCCTGACTGTGTTCACCAGTCCCACCAATGGGATCAGTTACCCGCTTCCACTCCCGAAACGAGTTGTCTGGTAGGTCAGGTACGGTTTCTCCTGGTTGCCACAGCTGAGGTTGTCCCGGAGTATAGATCCGCACCCACTCCTGATCCTGCCAGACCGAATATTTGAGCCATGCGTACTGCTTTGCATCCTCGATGTCCATGCCGAAGTGAAGATAGGCTTCTCCTTGGCGGTGGAGCTGCATGATTGGGTCGTAGGCAGGTATGGATCAGAGACCCCAATAGACTCTGGTGGTGCAACTCCACGAGATGCACGTACTGGTTGGTGTTGTTGGGATGCATGACGCGACAGTTGTTGAGAGATCCCATCTTGAAGACGAGTGAGATCCTCAGTGGAGAAAGCCGCCGCATCCGATGATCTAAGAATCGCATCCAACATTTGCGGTGACATACACAATGCCGAGGATTGCGTGGCCAAGCTATGTTGATCAGGAAAAGACATCGAATCGAAGTCGTGACCAGCTTGAGGGGCAGCGACTCGCCGATAGCCCTCTGTGGCCCAGTCCCTTTTGTACCAAATGCTGTTGTTGGGCTGCGCAGGATTTGGGACATAGAACTCCTTCCACTCTCTGTATGTATGAGGCGGAGGCGGAGCATCATGTTCGTCCTGTGGAGTCCATGATCCCGGATGAAAGATCTTGACCCACTGGGCATCTGGCTGTTGAGGATCCGGACACCACTCCAGCCACGGAATGACAACACAAACCCTTGATGACAAATTGAGAGGTGTACGGCTGCAGACTGCTAGTACTACATGTGACACAACAGCAAACATGCAAGCAAACACTTTTGTAGCAAGGCGCGGCTCAGGTGTCGAAGTCACTCGCCCCAATCAAATTGAATTGAATATCCAGGAAAGACGAGGACGAACATCAGCCACCATCTGAGTTCGAGGATGCCGACGAAGAGGACAGTCCAGCGTACATGAGGTCTGGTGATCCCGAAGCGAAAACTGGACGTGCAATGTTGGGGTGCGGATGATATCCTCTGCTGACCCAGTCACGATACTGCCATGTATACAAGGACGCATATGAGACCGGCTGGGAAACAGAGCCCATATTGGTGCCGCCCGTGCTGTCACGAGGCCAATACACGTCGAAGTTGTAGAATTTGCGCCATTCCCGATAGGTGGTTGTGTCCTCCGGGGCCGGTCCCAAGGTGTTTTCGGCGACTGGTTGCCACGGACCAGGTACATAGACCCGAATCCATTCAACGCTTGTGCTCGCAGGGCCATTGACGATGTCGTACTCAAAGTAGCGTGGTAGGGTCCATCTTGCAGTGCCATATATTGTAGAATTGAACATACCAACCCGGGAAGCCGCTTTGAGGCAAAAGGGAGCGGCGAAAACATGGAGACGGAAAGCACAACACAAGTCAAGACAACCCAAGTTGATGCAGCAATCAAATCAGGCACAATCGCATCATTTTAACCGACATGTTGCTCAAGTATCAATCCGATTCGTTCCAAGGATCATAGAATGGTGGTGGAGAAGGTTCCCGCCACGCCCCATCCGGAACTGAAGACTCCGACGAGGAAGTAACTTCTTCATTCACGAGCGCCGCCGATCCAATGGATGGTAGTGGAACGCCAAGGCGTTGATAACCCCGTGTTTCCCAGTCTCGGTACTCCCACACGTGGTATGACACATACGAAATGGGCATGACATTGGGGTCCGCAGCTGTTCCTCCGGTGCTGTCTGCGGGCAAGTACACGTCAAAGTGATATGACTTGCGCCACTCCCGATACGTGGAAGCGTAGTCTGGGGCACGTCCCAGAGTAGCTGTGGCTACGGGTTGCCACGGACCCGGTGTGTAAATTCGAATCCATTCCACTCCTCTCTCGATGTGGTACTCAAAATAGTGCGGGAACATAACTGCACAATGGGTCGTCACAGGGCCGCTGAAAGAAATCGCAAAGCCACTGAATCTGCAGCGAAACACTCATGCCATGACAACCCTGACGCAATGAGAATGTGTTGAACAACGCAATGCAAGGCAACTTTTCAAACTGAATGCGGGACGAATCCACAAGGTCTATAGTATACGACACCTATGCTTCACCGCCGCTGATGCCGCACACACCTGCAATGGTAATGTCCTGGGCGGCGACGAGCACAGGGAGAAAGACACTTCCGTCCATGATGTAGGAAGGCATGACAGTAATGCTTGCAACTTGTCAATGGGGACAGCGATGGACGGGTGGCTCGTTTTGAAGGGAACACGGTGACGATGCGGCATGGGGTTCGAAACCTTTGGCCTCATAAAGGCATTTGAGAGCGTTGAGTCCATGTTGTTGCTGAACCGCAGGTTGTGCACCACGTATAATGAGCCACGAGCGAGAAGACCAAGAAGAGTAAGTAAACATCTGATCATTGGCACTCCGAATCCCTTTGATTTGAGAGGGATGATCAGGTAGTTGTGGTATAATAGTCCTGGACGAAGAATCACATAGGTAACCCAGCACTTTGTCATCATGCTGAAACTCAAGCATCACAGGTGGACGATAAAATTCCAGGGAAAGAAAATTCCTGAGCACGGGTGATTGTGGGGCAGAATCACGTAGCAGGATGAAACGATTATCGACATAACGCTCGTGCCAGATCACCCCGACATCGGGCATGCGAAAACGTAAAGAACACATTATTTGGTGCCAGAAGAAGTCCTCCACCGTGGCAACCAGATTGCAGAGAGGTGGTGCTGCAGGTGATCCCATAGCGACCCCACGTTCTTGCCGGAACAAGTAGCCATTGATCTCGAAGTGACTGTTGTCAATGACAAACTCAAGGAGGTAACGAAGGTCTTGTTCACGAAAGGTTCGAGGGACCTTAGTTTGACGGCGCCATTTTCCTTTGAACATACGGCGTCGATGATCTGACTTCAATTCGTACACCGATCATTGTGAGGATCGGCGGAGGCCAACTACTTGGTCATAACGATGAAGAAGCACCTGTAGTGCCTGATGGAAACGCTCCGTAGGAATGGACGTGAAGAAACCGGACAGGTCCTGAGACACCAGGTGGATGTATTCGGCGGGATCTGCCTTTGACAGCGCGTCCCAGAGCTGTTGGACAAGTTCTTGGACCGAAAGCTGTCCTGGTACGTCAGGAAAGGTAACTTTGGTAAGTTCAAAAATGAGGGCGCCGAAGACCGTGAGGAAGGGTGCTGCCCACGTGCGAAAGAAAGAAATGATGGGTCTTGCTTTCTGCCAGTCCTTGGTCGGCTTTGGAAGGATGCGAGCTGTAGGCAACGGTGCTTGAAGTCGAAGTCCCCACGCGTAGCGCTGATGTAGGAGGGAAGGTATCGTAGTGACCATTTCAGAGCGAAAGGATGCTGCAGATTCCCGACACAGCGAAAAGACTTCTCCCGAGCAAAAGGTCTTGTGCATCAGTAT